GTTTATTCTCAAATAAAAATGTTTGACGGTGATGAGATATCACACTTAAAGCATATGTATATTGAAGTAAAACCAATTGAAATTCGTTACTATTCAGATTTATGATCAGAAAAATAACGCCATAGAAAGAAAAAAAGTGTGCGAACAGAATAGCTCGAGCTTCATAAAGAACTTACGATAAGAGACAGTAATATAATGAGAAAGTGGATAAAAGAGAATAAAAAAAAATAATAGGAAGATGGATCTGAGAGAGCTAGCTAGTTGGCTGAGCTACTAAAGGAAGACAGAGAGTGAACAGAGAGAAGTAAAAAGAGGCGAATGAGCGAAATCCTTTATGAGTCAAGAGTAATAAGAAATTAAGAAACGAGTCGAGAACAATGCCAAGTTTCCTCTGCTTTACAGCAGCCAGCACACAATGGCCACGAGCCACTTGCGTTTTTTCATTGTCGTTCACGTTGCTTTTCGACACGTCTCTCTCGCAGTCGTCACTGCCCGAATAACCTGATTAAAACCAACCACTTACCAAGTAATCCGATTTACCGCTTATTATAGCATTGTCTCAGAATCTAATATTTTAAGAGTTTCATAACGTGCCCCGTTCACACAGCTCTTACAAGTGTTAATTCGCGCGATTTCCCATTCGCGTTAAATTGGAGTGATTATTGAGGTTGCTTCATTCGATGTGAAGCCACTATAGTAAATACTTAAATCCTTAATTACATTCTAACTTTTAATTGAATCATCAGAATTGGAGGATTCTTGCAGCTGTTTGAGTTTCATTTCCACTTCTAACTTCAACCATAAATTTAGCAAACGTAATGTTATGTAGCATAATAATTATCTTCCATTCCCAAAACTTTCTAGCAAAGTTTTGTTTCGTTAGTTTAACGAGACTACTCAACAAATTTGCCAACAACATTTTCTCTTCAAAAAATTAACCTTCCGAAGAATAAATACTCGAAAGTACGAATAACTTTAGCAATGAAATTCAACAACTTCTTACCTCAAAAATAGTCGTTAGCTTCCATAAAACAGCGAATAGTAATCAAATTATTATTACTCCAGTACTTCAACAAGTCTGTTGGCCATGTCATCAAATTGATATGCACTTATCGATTGATATTCATGTCATAAAATGTTTGCGAATTTGAAAGCAATACATTTGGAGATATTTCTTTCATTTTTGACGTCAAAGAGAGGAGATCATAACACAGTGTTGTTTACCAGCCCGTGCCAGACGGGAGTTACCGCGACGAATTGGGACACAAAAAAAAGTAGGAAACGAGAGGACTGGGAACCAACAGATGAAGAAGAAATCCAGACGACGCGAAGAGAAAGAGAGGGAGAGAGAGTGCCGCCAGTCACACAGGAGTGGGCGAGCGAAAACACAGGATGTTCGATCTTATGATTCGACGAAAGCCCATTGTTTGTCCAAGCAACAAAGGGACGAGAGGCCTAGCAGAGCGCCCAGAGCGTTGCCGTACAAGCGAGAGTTCTTTACACAGCGAAGAGAGGGGGGGAGAGAGAGAGAGAGAGAGAGAGAGAGAGAGAGAGAGAGAGAGAGAGAGAGAGAGAGAGAGAGAGAGAGAGAGAGAGAGAGAGAGAGAGAGAGAGAGAGAGAGAGAGAGAGAGAGAATCGCGAACACGAAGAAAGGGCGCGAAATACAGTGAAGCTGAGAGTGAATGTGACTGATAGAGATAAAAAAAGATACACAGAAAAGGCAAGAGCAAAAAAAAATGAGGCGAATGAGGGAGAGAAAGTATGTGTAGTCGCGGCAAGGACCAGCAACGGCATCAGCACTGCCGACGAGATAATACGCGCGGGCGGCCAAAAATATTGGCGGCGCTCCAAATGGAAATAGATAAAAAGCTTGCGAGCGCCGGTGCAGGGGAAAACTCCTATCTGGACCCGCGCGCTCGCGCTTTGTACGCTTTTTGCAAGCATCGAAAGGCCCATTCGCTTTTTTCTCTCTCGCTCTACCCTGGCACTCACACGCTCTTCGACTGATTGTCCGACCTAGCGAGGACAGCCCACGTGGAATTACTCCCCCTCTGATTTTAGACTTGGCTCAAACACTCAATGTCGATGCAGAGTTTGAATTGAACATCGTTCGATCAATCGTTCACGTGATTTTCCACGTGTTTTATAAGTGCGCAAGGTGATACAAAAAATTAGATATGGATAATAAAAGTTATCAGTGAAAATATAGATTAGAATGAACATGAACAAAATATTAGGCAAAGTGTCAAAGTAAATAATGATTATTTAGTAGTGTATATACTCAGACAACTTAAACTTGTCGAAACGTTGAGACAATAATATAAATTTATCAAGTTATGAAAAATGACTTATTTTTCTGTATTAGATTGTGCTAACTATAAATCTTTTTCCAGCCTATAGTAACTTGAACAAATCAGTATTATAACAAAAGATATGCTAAGAAACATAAAATATTAACGTGATCATGATATAAAAAAGTTGTACAAAGAATAATAATAATTAAATTTTTTAGCTATTATAGAAAAATTGTATAATCAATAGTTTTATTTTTACGAATTGAATTTTTTACGGGAAATGTAGGGATCTTTAAAGCTTCAAAACTTACCTTTTTTTCGAAATCTTCTCTAAGTTTCTGCTTTTCCTGAGCCAGAGCCAACTCAACAGCTATATTAATTTTTTCTTGTTCATCTCCAGACTTCAAAGCAGCTTTTAATTTTGCATCAGCGACAGTCTGAGAAATTTTGATAAAAAAGTAATACCTCTCAACTACACATGTTTATAGATACCAAATCGTAATAGTTACCTGCAATCTTTCAAACTCCTTTTGCAAAAATGCTACTTTACGATACATGTGTAAGGCAAACAGATCGAATGCTTCATCGGTTACGGCAAGCTTTTTATTATTGGTATTGATGCCTGGAAAAAGGATTTGCAATTCTTCGTGGAACTTCTCTCTCGCTACTTTGACACTTTTCCAGTATTTTTCCGTTATGTTCGCGTTAGCAATTTCTTGATCAAACTTCTTTTTAGCTTCATCCAATTCCGATAATATTTTATTAATGTTTCGCCTGGCAATGGTTTTCTGTCCAGGAGTGGCTTCTACTTTAGGATCATCAATCGAATTATGCAACTTCTTCAAGGTCTCAACAGCTTCATCTGCTTTCTTTTCTGCCTCTTCCAAAGCAAAAGATCTCTTTTCTTGTGCTACTTTTAATCTAAAATACAACATAAATCATTAACGAAATTAAGGAACCTCGTCTTCTCAATAATATTTAAAAATTATAGAATATATAATTATAACGGAATCAAAATACATTCTAACAAATATTCCCACTTTCTTAATGAAGCAATTACGCTTTCTATTATTACTTGCTCAAAAAATGTATTTCCCAACTGAAGTTTTCAACAAAATACTGGTAAAAATTACCTACTAACCAATCCATTTATAACTTTTCATTCAAAAAATCATTTTTTAAGTAACGTTTTCGATTTATTTAAAATAGTTCTATGGGCAGGTATTCAACAGCAGATCATCTGGTAATTATAAAAGCGCTTCTTGTGATCGCTCATAATAAAAGATTGTTGATAAATTTAAGAAAACAAATTTTGTAATTATTCTTTGCATAGTTTAGTTCACTGTAGTCTCAAACTGAATTTGATATGTATCTCTGTTGGTTTGGAAAAATTTATAATCGCATAATTTACAAAACGTGTAACTTCATGTAAAGAATATCTCCAATTTCAATCTATCAATAACTATTTTATTACCATCTAATTGACCTGAACAAGCATTTTATTAATCGCTTAGTGATCTGACGTTGAACATATGGTCATAGACTTTAATAAACTAAGATTAGCTTTATATAAATAAATAAAATTTTTAAACTAAAAATACAATTATAAAATACGTATTGAAGTTTGATATCCAACAAATGTTATATTAACTGTAATTTGTATAATCCTTTTTTCTTATAAAATAAGTTTAACCTCAGTTTATTGAATTATAAAATTAGCAAATAATAATGTACCTATCCCATATTTGATTTCCTACAGTAGAATCGGAACTTTCTACAACACTCATGACATCTTGGTTAAAATCTTGAACAGCACATGAGGCTTCTTGAAATGCTGCTATAGCTTTAGAAGCAAGTTCCCCACCATATTTTTCTAGCTCATGTAAATCAGCAGTAATTTGTTCACTGGGTGTTACTTTTGAAACAAGAACTGGTTTTTCGGATACTGAAATACAAATTAGAAATTGCAATTTTCATTCAATCAATGATTACAATTATACAAATTATTTATTAAATTATTCAGTTAATGAAAACTGCCACTGTAAGCATGGATTTCAGTTGGAATGAAACTTATACGTACCAACTTCAATTTTTTTGCCTTCATTTTTACTAATTCTAAGTTCTGGTTTTGGTTTATCAATAGATGGTGGTTTAGGCGGTGAAAGTTCTAATGCCGCTGGTGTGAAAGCAGGTCTTGGCGCTGAACAGATATTGAGTTATCAGTTAGTCACTGATGTTAGTCAAAATGCAAAATTAAAAAGATAAACCAAAATATAAAACCATTTAGAATCTATTAAAATCTCTTTAACACATAAGTTACAGATTATTTGTACTTTCTATTGAAAACAGTTCACAAATCTCACAATGACTTAATTTTTTGAAATTCATGAATTTGCATTAATTAGAATATCATTTAAAAAAGATGTAGCTAAATAAATAAATTAAAGGAAAGGTAAATGGAAAGGAATAGAGGAGTAGGATAAGGGCTCACGTGTAAAATCTTCAAGATTTGAACAATCTACTGTTCTTATAATCTGACCTGGTTTTGGGGTTGACTCTCCAAATATCATGTTTGAAATTCTGAAGCAATAATACAAACATGCAAATATTATGGAATGAATAACTTAAATTAAAAATAGTACAATAGCTTACTTATTTTTTAATGATTCAAAGAAACTGATAATAAAATCAAAATAACTTGATTCTTCCTGAAAGATGATCTGTATCGCTCGATTTGTTCCTGGAATCCATCCATCCAATGTAGCCCTAAATTTTTCATCGCTTTTTGCATACGTTAATATTCCAATTGCTCCAATTGTAACAGCTCCAAGAGTAACTAAAGTACCAGTGCCTCCACGTGATTTTTCTCTATAAATTCATACACAATATATAAAGAAATATTTTTTACAAAAAAAAAATCAAAACACACCAGCATGTACATCCACCATCAATTGATTCTGCACAAATATTTTAAATTTAACTGCTTAAGTTAAAGTAAATACAGATTGAAAAATTATCAATTACCTACCCATCTCTTTTTTTATCATGCAAATAATCAAGAGTGAAATTTTTCTTGATAATTTTGAAATCTGTATTTACTTTGTCTTCAGCAATCAAATTCAAAATGTTCATGCAGAATCCATTACCGGTGGGTGTACATTATAGATACAAGCTAAAATGTTAGTTTTAATAATTTAATTGTAACTGAAATTCAGTACATTCAATGAATGACATGAGATCCAGTTATAAACAGTATATTTTTTGTACTATTATTATTACAGATATACAAAATTCATAATTTTAAAAAATTTTCATGCAGCACATGACCAGTACAAACTCCTTAATAACCCATTTTAATGCATCTAATGTGGAAAGATGATAAAAATAAATACTACTATGATTACACAGACAAAAGCAAACCAAACCACCTAAATATTTATCGTGTACCTTCCAGATTCAGTTGAATATCTATGTCCAGATAATCTGGATGCAAGAGTAACTTCCTTGAATACCCTAGAATCATACTTTTTAAGTGAATTCTGAAACCTTTAGTAAGTATACTAAAGGGAACACAACTAAGTTTAAATATTTAAAATATTACTTCCAAGATAACAGGCTGAAACTTATCGACAACTAACATAACCATGTTACATTGGAAATAATCACTATTAGTAGATTTTCGTGATTATATATTAATTGAAAGTTAGAAACATTTTAACATATCCTTCAATTCACTCTTACTAATTCATTACACAAATGAACTCATGAACTATGGCACATTGCATTAAATTGATAAATTAATTTTAAAATTTGTAGACATACAGAATTATTTTATAGTCTCACCTGTCATCGCACTTGATCTTTGGTCTTGTTTCATAGCTCCTTGCCGCAAGGTAGAGCCTTTCACAACCATGTTTTTTAATCTACAAAAAAGAAATTACGCTGCTGTCAGTCATAAAAATATACACAGAATTATGTAAGACATCTTGAGAATCAAGACATAACATTGCCTTTTAGAAGGCAAATAATCAATGACAATGTTCGTGACTGTCGTGTTATCCTTCGGAAACATAAAGATAATAAATAATTGGATGTTTTCATCTTTCAAGCAATGCAAATTACTTAAGAAAGATTGCAATTTCCCGCGGGAAAATTGGCAACAAGAAGAATGAAAACATGCTTGTCAAGCGAATGGTACATCTCGTTACCTCATTTTTTAAGGCTTCTTGATAAGCAAAAAATGCACGTCACTAGAGTACCAAAAAGTGAAAAATATGACAAATATTTCCAAATGATTGTACAACTTACCCGATTAAGATTAAGGCCGTTTACGGGAATTTTTACTCCGACTCGGAACATCTTTCGGAATGGCCGGTGTCGGCTGCCTGCCTAAGAAAAAAGGGGAACGGCGCACGCGGAAAAACAGCTGGTAGCAGTCGCAGCGCCAGGATTCCGAGTTAAACTGAACGGCAAAAATGTTTCGTGCAGTTACAACTGCGTTGCGAGGTAAATATTGACTTTATTTTTATAAATTTTCATTAGTTTTGCTGTTCAATTACACATATATGATGAATTTTTGTATTTTAAAAAACACTCTCAATTAATGTTATTACTTACTATATTTTTGCATGGATTTTGGAGGCAGTGAGGTTAGGACCGAGCAGAATACGTTCAATTTTATTTGATACGGTTGAACAAGGGAACGGTTCGATTTGTTTTTCATAGAAATTTATTATTTTATTGTCTCGCAGTGGAATTTCTGTTTGCACTACATATTTTGCAATTAAATTTATGAAATATATTTCTAATTTATTTTTATTCGATCATGTTATATATTAAATCACACTAAAAAAACAAACTATGTAATCATTTTTATATAACTTATTCTATTGTTTTAGAAGGAGCCAAGAAAGCATTTGCTGTAAGTGCATTGGTCTATGGAAATGTTACATCTACTCTTTTGTCTCCTCAAGCTCGAAGTTTAAGTGTATTTGCTAAACAACTCGAATGTCAAACAACATTAAAAGTAGAAAACAAGGGTACAAAAAATTTAAGGTAATTTTTTGTGATATTCAATGTATTTAATTAATTATTCAACTTTATAATCTTAAATCTTTTTATTTTTGTTTACTGTAGCAATTCTATAAATAAACTTCTGGTTCTTCAAACACAATTTTCTGCTGTACCATGTAGAACAGTTACAAAGTTTTCTTTGAAAAAAGGAAAAAGAAAAAGTGTTAAAACAGTTCTTTACAGATTTTACAGATTAAACTGGTAAATTTGCATAATACTTATTAAAATAATTGTATAATAGTCAGTATCAGTACTCAATGTATTTCAATATTTGCAGGGGTATATGGATTCGTACAAAGGCTGGGCGTCAGAAACATTTGTGGAAAAAAAGTGCATCACGAAGAAGAAAATTAAAACAGCATGTTTTCACTAATTCAACACAGTCATGGATGTTGGATAAAATGGTAACTGCATTTTGGAGGAGACCAAAATATTGGGTTGATGATCCTTATGAGCCTTATCATAAACGTGAAGAGTTTCCTTTTACTCAAAAGAAACCGAGACCTCTACCTGAATAAACATTACTTAACCAACTATTGTTATTGCTTCTAGATGCTATTAAATACACACATCTTTTTATTATCTAGCTATATAAATTAATTATTACACCTAATATAAACTAGTTTTCATAGGTTTTTTCAAATATCAGTTATAGGGATATTTCAATTGAATTTATTCATGAAAAATACTTTAAGTAATCATGCTATTCTACCTCTGCATAATCAATATATCGACTTATTCAAAAAGGAGATAAAGTAGGGAGCGAAAGTATCAATGGATGACGATTAAAAACATCTGATCAACTTTCATGTATGACGTTATTTTTGCCGGCTGCTTGAGCGCTTTTCATTTTGTTTTTATTTCTGTATAATTTTCCTAGCAATCAAGAAGTATTTAAATAGATAGATACTCCTAAACAAAGATATATTAAAATGAAATTTTACCAAAATTTAAAAATAGAGAAGCTATTAGCATGTATTTATTTATATTGTTATGACGGGATACATATTATTAATGAATTTAGTTAGGGAAATCGAATAAAATATGAAAATACATTATAGAGCACATAATTATGCTTAAAAATAGAAAAAAATGTGTTTACTTGTAGGTTAATTTGTATTTTTTAGACGAAAAATAACATTGAAAGCAATGAGAAAAAACAATAAAATAAAAAGAAAGTCTACTTAAAAAAAAATAATCCGACAGAAAATAAAAAAATAGGTTACTGTAGCTAAGCCGCAAAATAGATAGATGATTACATAGGCTATAACATTTACGGGCGCTAAACTTTCCCCTTCTCTGACGATGTTAGAGCCCACGAAAGCCAGACGCAGAAGAGCGAGAAGAACGATCGAGCGAGCCCCCGGAGCAACCAACGGAAAGCAATAGTAGTCTCCTGTCGTTCGAGCGGCCCGCACGACAAATAAAACAGAAAGTCAACGGTACGCGTACTACATTGCAGCAGTCGTCCAAACAAGATAAACAAACTGAGCTGATTACAAGTTTGATAAGCTTCTCGAGCGTGCAAGTGGATTGGTGAATTGCAGGCACTTTTAATCAGCGCCGTTGAGAACGTACAATAATAAGATGCCTCTGCAGGCCAAAATCCGTGCGCTGACCACGCTTCTCGTTGGAGCAGACAAAAGTTTCGGCGTTACTTGCCTTAGTCGTATTGCCGGGCGCAACTTCTCCACAAGCAGCGCTGCTAACATGAGGTTCGTTAATTTTTAGTTCTTTTCCTTTTGTTACGTATACGCATCTAGCCGGTTCTCTGCTATAAGCCTATACCTGTGTTATACGATTATATTGACCTAAAGCCGTATACTGCAATAATCAATTTTAGCGTGATTTTCTGCTATTCGCTCCTGTGGAGCTACTCACTCAAAGTAACTGCGGCTACTGCTATCTGCCATTAGTGAATGAAATAGTAAATGTTTCATTTATTATGCTTTTTCTGATTAAAAGATCTTTCGAGTAGGGCGTATTCAAGTTATATTTGTAAAGTGAAGGCGTGATTATTTCGATCAATGATGCCGGCTGTTGGAAAATAGGTATAACATGGATCTTTCATTTCTCCCAAAGTTTTAGCTTCATTTATATTGCTAACAATTAGATAAGATATATCTCGAAATTATTTCAGATATAAATCACACGTATTACACAATCGTCTTTATACATACTTTAGTCGTTGTCTAAATAAACATTATGCTTTCTCGCGTAGGCGAGGCTTTTAATAATGCATGAAAAATTTTGGAATAATGCCGTTCTTTTTGACATAACTTTACTCACCATCGATTCATATCAGAGTTATTTTTAGAGCGTACGCTTTTTAAATCGTAACTGAAATATTTTTTCCGATATAGTTAACTGAACGGCTCTTTCCTTTTGAGAGTGCATTAAGTCATTGCATAACAAATTAAAAGTAAATCTAAACTGATATTTTACATTTTTATACATGAGATGAGCAAAAACTAAGTCAAAAAATGATCAAAGAATACGAAGGGCATCGATTTATCACATTTTCTGCCCTATCTAATGCAAATTCCAAGGCCAAGTTTTTAAGCAGTACGCATGTCCAAAGCTAGAGTTTAGGGGACAATTATTCGAAAGTTGAGCAAATTAAAGGACGAGATATAGAAAAGATCGAAACGTTAATGAATCATTGACTATAAATTGGTACAGTTGTCGTTACGGATACATAAATTAATAAATATCGATAATATTGAATATCGACGCTCGTAATAATATATATTATGTAAACGTGTTTTTTTCGTGAATCAACACGATGTGATCCGTGATAGATTTAGACGATAGGATCAGTTATTTGGCTAATTTTATTTATTAATGAACTACGTTAATTTTGAACGTAGTTTGAATTAACAATAACAATAACAAATTGAATTATTTCCTTAACAAAAAGTCTCAACTTTAAGCAGTATTTTTCACACTTTTTTAGTTGTCAAATTATTATTTATTTAATGCTTTTACACGGATAATACACTTCAATATTCCATTTACATTGCTTGCCACTTATATTCTTCTTTTGTTAATTTAATTGCTATTGTTAATATTGTAATGTGCAGACTAATAAATCGTTTCTATATTTCGATTAAAGAATATTTAGTACTCATTCATCTTAATAAATCCGTTTAACCAGTATATCATTTTTAACTGTTGGGATTCCACTTGAGCACAATTACACATACTTTGTTAAACAAAAGCTAACAAAAGCCATCTGATTTAACTGCTCATTACGTGTAAAAATATGTAGATATATACAAATTTGAAACCTATTATTATTCTTCAAATTCAAGTTAGTAGGTATGTGACGTAAGCTTATCGATAAAAATTGCTAACTAGGGTTTCTATGTACATTAATATTTAAAAGAAGGGTGTTGAAATTTCAAAAATGTTCGCAATATTAAATTGTACTAAGTAAGAATAACTGGTCATTGTTTATTTCATTCCATCATGCAATCCACTATTCTTATATAACCCAATTGCAGTAATAATCCGAGCCATGAAAATGCAATAAGCTTTAAATTTATACTTAACCGTATCATCAAATACACGTAGTACATCGAGAAAAAAACTAAGATTATTTCCATTTAAAATGATACTCGTTTCTTTGTGTCTTGACGATCAATTACTACATGACGTCACAATTTAACAATAATTATTATGATATCTCAAAGTAAAACAATAATTATTTATTATATCTAAAAGAGACTTGAATTGTCACTTTGCAGGTTTGTACAATTCGTTAACAAAAACGGTGGCCCCCAACAACTAGGAGTCCAGCTGAAGCAGGGTGGTGACATCGTTGCAATCTCAGTACTTAATTCAAGAATTCCAAACTCGTTAAAAAAGTTCCTGGAAGGCGGAGAAGAGTTCATAAAGAAAGCAAAGAGGTAAGATATCAGTCTGAAACCTGTTACGATCATACAATTACTTTTTATCTCACTGTAAACTGTAAACAACCTACGATGTTAAATCGGCCTGTTTAATTTTATATTGGTAATATAAACCAGTTTAATGCTAAATTTGAGTAACTTTTCACCATAAAATATCCGGTAAAGTTAAATAACTTTTATATGTTGAAGATTCATCTTAAATATTACTTTTAATTGATAATAATCATAATGTTTTTTATTAAAGTAATGTTCCTTTTTATTATTATTTAAAGAAATTTTAAAAAGAACTTGCATTTAAGAATTGCAATCCGTAGGAGAGAAAAGTTATTGTCTTTATTTTATTATGCTCTAGGAAGGATGATCTTGATTTGAAAACTGAAGTGGAAAGGTCAGTTAGTTTGAAAAATGCATTTGAAATATATCCCTTATTAAATGTAATTGATTAAGCAAAAAAAAACCAGCGACCCTCATTCTGAACGAGGTTTGGTTGAGTTGCTCGGCAGTGTGTTCTTTTCCTTCAACGTACAAAGCTCCCACAATTCTTGTATGTACATACCCGTTTGTCCACTTCCAGCTTCTTGTACAAAAAACTGACCATATGCGAGTCTGATCCCTTTTTTATTTGTGTTTAATTGCTGGCACATTTGAGCGAGAAATGAAACGAATATCACAACATGAAAAACTCTTGTCATGACTTTTTTAAGGATTGAAAACACGTAGTTGCTTTTAAATAATAATGTTTTTGGAACAAATTAATTACTAACTGCCATCTATGCATGTCATCCTTTTGTATTCAGTAAAATTAAGTATTTTGTTTAAACATTGATTACTCTTTAAGTAAAATATTTATCAAACCATTCAGTCATTGCGCTCCTGCAAAGAAATTGTTTTCGAATGTTACAGTTTAAATCAAATTAAATTGTTTTTATTTTATACAAATAGAAAGCTCCTCCTTTCAAACTTCAGAAGGAACAAACAACATCTAGAAATACCATTATGGAAAAAATTGATTTCTATATTAAGAAATAGACGTGTGCAAACCATACGAATGTTGAATGTTAAAATGATTACTCTCTTTGATTGCTGGTTTGAATGTTCTTTCCTATTTAATTGTACCATAAAGATCAAAATTCAACACTATATTTTCATTTTTCTTATCAAGGCATGTATTTTTAGAATAGTAGCAGAAGGCCGCAGTGTAATACCTGAGAAAGATGTAACATTCCTTCCACCCATTACTCGTATGGATAAGCTCGCTTGCGTGGGTCTAAATTACAGCGGCCATTGTAAGGAACAGAACGTGGAGGCACCATCGAATCCTGTTATTTTCAGCAAATTTCCCAGCAATATCATTGGTCCTTATGACGATATTCATTTGCCAACAATATCAGACGTGAGTAAACAAAATTATTCGTCAATGTATGTTACTTTATGTGTATTAAAATAAAATACGAAATTATGTTTATTACAATAAATTTTTTACGCTGCAATAAGTTAATTTGAATAGCATTTTGTATGCATTCGTTAAAACTCAAATTATGCAGAATATTTTGCACAATGACAATTTAAACTTAATAATATTGTTTTCCATTTATTTGTAAGAAAACAAGACACGTTTTATAAATTTTCGAAAGAGCAAGGCATTCTTTCACAATAAAAAAATATAGCCTGTGTGCTACTTCCGAGAGGTTATTTTTAGAAATTAACAAACTTGCGTAACATGTTAATGAACCGCTACTATCTTTCAGAGTCACAAGTTTTGTGTTGTTTCACGTGAAAAGAAAACAAATATATATATACCGCTGCTCAAATGCATTACGCGGTTTATATAAGACGGAGTATCGTTCTTCAAAAAATCAGTAAATTATTCATTTAATATTCTGCAAGCATACCTTGCCAGAGTATATAATAAGTATTAGATAAATAACCATTCATAATTTTTCGACTTAAACTTTCATATATAATTTATTTGAATTATCTAGGTAGTCGTTGACAAATCCAATACGAAACTATTTCATGATAATTGTTGACCATGATAAAATATTTATTTACAGAAAGTAGACTGGGAAGCGGAATTAGCCATTGTAATTGGCAAAAAATGTAAAGGCCTAAACAACCACGAGGCTGAAGAGCACATATTTGGCTATACCGTTGCTCAAGATTTATCGGCGAGGGACTGGCAAAAAGGTAAACGAAACGGTGGTCAGTTCCTGTTGGGCAAAGCGATGGATAACTTTTGTCCATTAGGTCCAGCTGTTGTTACTAAGGAATCCATAGCCGATGTGAAAAATTTATCTGTTAAAACTTGGGTCAACGGAGTACTTAAACAAGATGGTAACACGTCCGAACTCATCTTTAAAACGCAAGATATCGTTGCTTACATTTCCCAGTGAGTGAATTCTATCATATTATTGCTTTTATTAGTTTTTCAAAAGCTTCTTATTTGACTCATTATTGGAACTACTTTCAGATTCATGACTTTACTACCAGGTGACGTCATTTTAACTGGTACTCCGGCTGGTGTAGGCTTTGCTAGAAATCCACCAGAGTACTTAAAGGTTTGTTTAAAATTAATTGGCTACCTTTAAAATCCATAAAGAATTCAAAAATTAAAATTCGTATTGTCAGTTTCATTTATCACTCACTGATTCCTTTTATTAATCACTGCTACAAGATTGATTTTTTAAAATAGGAGTATAAATAATCTTTTATAATTATCATTTTTCTAGAAAGGAGATGTTTTGGAAACTGAAATAGAGAGTATTGGACGTCTTAAAAATAATTGCCTCTGATGTTTGAAAGACGATTTTCCGTGTTCAGATGATGTGAGCAGCTCCATCCCAAAAGTTTCTATTCGTGCCATAAACTAGTGATTGATACTTTTGCACGAATAATAGTTGATTCAAAATGATACTTATTAATAAAAAATGTAGGACAGCTGAATACTCGAAAATTACGAACTCTATACTGATCTAGTATATTTTACAACCAATGTACTTTAATCGGCGAATTGTGCGCCTGTGAAACTTATAATATTGCCAATAATTAATTATGCAATTTTGTTATAGACACAGATATTTTTATTCAAAATAATCGATATTTATACATATGCGCCGATATAAAATATAATTATGAAGAGTAGAGTAATTGCTAGAAGAGTAAGAATGTGCTGTTGTACAACGTTTGTTAATTTTTTCTCATGAAAAAATTTATATCAAAATTTCACTTATACAAACTATTGGAGTTGAAATTAGTATGTTTATACTGGAATAAAAATTGAAACTACATTATCTTTTATGTAGTTAGTAAGTTGCTTCTCGAAGTCATTTTCTACAAAGGTTCGAGACGATTCTCAAGTTTTTCGGAATACGAGTCGGTTTGAGCTTTAAAGCCATTTACACCGACCACGTTGTGAACTCTCTTTATATTTGTACTTGGCTAGCCTTTAAGCCTTTCTTAATGTTTAAGTATCCAAGTTATACATTATATCCTTTGATTAATATGGTCATTTTTAATTTGTAATCTTTTATTAATTATATCAATATTGAAAAACTGTACAGCTATAATATAAAATCTTTTGTAAAATTTTAAATTTACATTAGACTCGTTAATACGATATGAAAAACCGTGTCTGTATTGTCTGTAAAGACTTAGAAGAAGATAGAGTAATTGACAATGTCTATATTTTACGGAAAGCATTCATATACTGAATTTAATTTTTTTTTTATACTGTTCAGTAATAATCCATTTCGAATAACCCTACGTGATAAGAGATTTTCTTTTCGGAATATTCTTATTCACAAAATATTGTTGTGAATAAATTAGATTGGTTGTCTTATTTTTTATTTCAAGTCTGCGTTTACTTGAGGCTCATATTAATCAACCGTATAGTTTGAATTCTAGCGCGTTGTACAGCTTCCTAATGTACCGATTTATACAGATTTGTGACTCCAGTACGAATATAATTAATATAAAGAACATAAAAAGCTATAACAATGCCTCCTGATATGGGTTACGAATTTGTTATTAAAAACCGTCTGCGTCCCTTAGTTACTGAATCATAAGAAAATAGTTGATTGAAAAAATTGTGTAAACTTAAGAAATAAATTGATACCGGTCATCTGTCGAAAGTTCATCATTAGGGACTGTAATTCACTGCCAAACTTTAAAATATAAATGGCCATCATTAATTATATAACTATCGCTCGGACATAGAAGCAAGGTTTGGCCAGTCGATGAGTTTAAAAATAGCCGCAGTAAATTTAAGTTCTCGCATAAAACGAAAAAATGGTATATAAATCTACAGTATGTTTAGTGCCACTAACGATGTTCACAAGACATTGTTTATAAAAAACCAATGCATTATAAAAATATCATAATATTTTTATGTAAAATTTATAGAATGTATAGATAGAAACAGAAATTAATAGAATATATAGATAAAACGAATGGTTCAAAACTGAAGAAAATGAAAATTTGTTTTATGATAAATTACGTGTAATTTTCTATAACGATTAATTATGCCAAAAAAATCGCGATTAAGAAGTTATTTTTGAATTAATTCTTAATCGAACGACTACACTATGAACCACCTAATATAAAAAGCAGACTTTTATGGACGTTTATTTTTTATTACTTAAACGCTCTATATTTTTTATAATTTAAACTCTCTATCATCGGCAATGGAAATTTACTTTTTTGGAGACAAAGAAACTTCCAAAGTAAACAATTTTCTTTTATTTTCTATGGATTTTTTATCTGTATACGTATAATTAGAGACAATACAACTATTTACAGTGATGATACGGCGAATTACCCTTGTAATTTCGAAAATTACAAGCGAACACCTTTAGCTGAAATATAATCAATGACTATTTAATTATCATGTACAACATGGTTTTTCCTTAAAGATTTTAAAAGTGTACTACGCACGTGAGAAAACACTCTATATTAAAATTTATTTATAAAATAAAATCTTAACCTGTCGGAAATAGTTTATGTATAAAATTATGATATATAAAAATCATCAGGTAATAACATTTGCTAACAGTTATTTACATTTTATAACCACTTATAAACGTCAGATTTTGGACACATATAACAATTATAAAGAGTTATTTTCTGTTAAAAACTGTTACTATTAAATAAGAACAGTTGTTTTCTGTTACTAACAGTTATTTGCATTTTTATTTACCAAAACAAATTTATTTTAATAAATAATAGCTATAAATGACTATAAATAAGTAAAAATAACAGTTATTTCTAATTATCTGGACATAAAAAGTACTTATAGGTGAAAAAAATTAAATTATAATAACAATATATGTGTTTAAAATAATTCTTAATTATCACATATGATAACTAATTATTTACAGTTGTAAACAATTATTTACATTTTTGTAATTGATTTAAAAACTGTTCATAACTGCTATCTTATAGCAAACTTTTTTATGATACAATGGTGTATTTCCGATATTGTTAAACTATAACTATAACTGTTAAGAACTGTATATAACTATTACTGACAGAAAAAAAAATCTGCTATACTTATCTAAATACTTTTTAATTTTTACGCAAAAATTATTTCCAACAGGGTAATAATCTAACAGTGCTCTAATTTTTATGAAAGTCTATCAATCTTAGAATTAAAAAAGAATCATTGGTTTCTGAAAAAAATACTAAATTTTTGTGTACTAGAGCGGGATTTTGAATTCCAAAGTTATCGACGAAAAAAAAGATATCTTATTTACCGACGTATTGTGAGCTATGAACGACAGAGCAACTGACGTTTTTTCCAACATACAATATAGATGTCCTTCATTGTCTCATTTTTTTCATATTTCATTTTTTATACGTTTGGTTAAAGATGAAAGAATTTTAATATATATATGTGAAAATTTGACAAGACTATTTCGGTTTTGATCATTACCATAGTCTACTTTTTTTAGTATTCTCTTTTTATACTCAAGTAAAAATGTTGTTGCGTGTCGTTATATGTAACTAACTCTGAATAAGATCAAAATCACCCTATTTTAGCAAGGAAAATTGCAAGAATATCAAAATGATGAATAATTTTAAGGACAATAAAAGATTTAAATATGGTATACTGTTATGTTATAAAACTACGAATAAAGTATTATTTCTTTCAATAAACTGAATATCTCATGAACATTGTTAACTAAAGTGTCGTTCTGATAGATACATATATCAAAAATATTTTTATAAACAAAACTGTTAAGCTTATAATCTGCTTATTAAAAGACAAATGGAACGTGTGTTGCGTGGAAAATGATTGCGCATCCACACAGATCCGCCCCTCGAATAAAATGCATCAATACTCGGGGCAGAAAAGCTCTTGGCTGTTGGCTTGTGCACATCGAACCCCCGCCGTTCCGTCGACAATGGCCCCCTCAATGCTATCCTAATTCGTAACAATGGCTCTTCCGTGGCTGTACATTAAATTCTGTATACTCACATGGATTGTCACGAAATCTTTAATTCAGCCGTTGATTGATGATACCTTATATATGTACAACTGTGTTAGATGACTCGTGTAATAAGCAATGCTTTTTTCCTAAGGATTTCGTTTCTCTTTTTTACAAGCTCTATTGTGTGTTAAGTTGTCACTCGATGAATCACGAAACGTTATTATGTAAATTGATTTTCTGTTATGTGGAGAGAACATCGTTTGAACTACACACGATTGTAAATTTATATTGTGAAATAGAAAATACACATTTGAAAAAGTCGTAAAAAGCGCTGGCGTTATATATGCATGATGCAAAGGCATCATATCGGACACAGCGAAACATTAAGGCAAATCGTCGGGCTTGACGATCGTATCGCCGCATGTGCTGAACGAGTGGCAGCAGCAAAGTGGGCAAATTGAGCTTGCAGGTCGAGGCGCCGTACATCACTTGGTAGCTTTTATCGGGAGGATGGCGGCAAATTCATGTTATGAGGCAGCTTATCGGTCGTTTTATTGTCGAGGACGGTGCGCCGTCATGGAATCACGTATATATAGACATACATGCGTACGCGCGTTACGATCTTATCAGGCGCTCTATTAAGAAACACCACACATTATTATTTTATCTCTCTCTCTCTCTCTCTCTTTCTACCGCTCTACTCGGCCCTTTCTTTTTCATCGATCAACTCCCTTTCGGTTTGCCATTCGTGGATAGTATACATATATATCTGATAAGATCGTGTTATAGCAGTTGTTACTCGTATAAATTCCAATTTCGCCACGTTTCCAGACTCAACAATCTATTCTTGGCACGTGAAGTGTTATTTATGAAACGATATGTTTATACATGGAAGTTTAGAAGATAGCTCGCTTGTATAGATAGCCGATAATTGCTTGAGAACGTATGCAAAGCGGATTGCAAATGTTTTCAGCACTCGTGCCACTTGCAATTTTTATATGTTGACTTCGAATGCTCCGATAACGCTCCAGCATTTTAGATAAGTCACCAACAGACGTGAACGAGCTGCCGTGTAGTAATGGAAAACGTCATCGCGATTTCTTTTAACGGCTACTGCTGTGCACGTTTATTTGAATTTAATAAGTGTTATCTTACCCGAGATAAGGATATCGATTTCCGTGATCGTTTTCTGTACACGCACTTTTATTTTTTTTAATTACTGTTTCTTTTCATTTTATTGCTGAAACTTCTCCAGATGTAGTATTTGCAATCTGGACCCCTAGCACAACAACGCCTAAATTATAAAATAAAAAATCGTTGGTTTGTACAGAATATTTCATACGTCGAGCTCGCGTAGCGTATAAAGTATAGGTTCGTAAAGCACCACTGGTTCCATTAGAAATTGAGTGGATGAAACATATTGGAGACAGTCTCTGCGGCCGTGAAAGTTAGATTTAGCCAGAGGACTAAATCAAAGTATCATTCGGAGTACAAAGCAGCACACCACCAATAAACCACTTGGTATAGGCTCGAGTAGGTCCCCTCACGAATCATCGCTCATTCGCCGCACAATGGGACAAACTGTAACCAATAAAGCTCGACGATCTGCTCTGACTGTTCTGCGGTTTTAACGAGCTCACTACCCCACGGGTAATTCGATTCGATGCATCTCGCTTTTTTCTTCCCCACTCACCGAATTTCACTCGTCTGTTACACATCGTCGAGCTCTTGAATCCTCGTTCATTAAACCGTGTAACCCCGACTACTTAAACAATCAGTATATTGCAGCACGCATGATGGATCTGTCGCACCCTTTCGTTCCACACGCTACCAACTTTAGTTTCCTACACGTTCGATTATTTGAAAACGTAGCGATACGATTGATATACATCTGTTACAATAAAAAAAAAACTCGCGTTGTTCATATCTTTGTGTTAATTTAATTATTGACAAATGACCGCATACTCTTAGTTATCAACAAATGTTCGTGCGGATAGTTAGTAAAAGTTTTGGCATCTCTCGCTGGATAGAACGCGAAGCATATACAAAATACTATACTGAAAAGGGTAATATTTTTCTTTTTTGAAGTACGTATATTCTTCTGGGGAGGCAGCTTGACAGAAAACAATGTCACGTATAAAGTGAGTAGGATTCGTTTACGGAAACAATGCATTCTCCTCTGTGCATTTCACGCCTGAGATCTGCCGGACAGCAATAAGATATGCAGTTAATTTAGTACGGTGTCACCCATTTCTCAAAAAGAGTCCATTCTTGAATTTCATTTCATATAAGTAAGTTCAGCAATGCAGCCGTTTTACACGACACGTGCATTCGAGTTGTTACAAACCTTCATCAAGATTTCTCATCTATGCATGTATTCTAATTATTATAAATTGTATCCATATGTGAAACAATTTCAGTAATTTTTTCAAATTTAACGCGCCTCCAGGTGTTAGGTGCACTAGTATAAAAAATCGGAATAGAAATCGTACAACGTATAATCCAGAGAAAAGCAGAAAAATGAATCCGCACGCTCAACCATGAGGTCCAGTTAGAGCTTAGCGTCGA